AAAAAAAAAAGAAAAGAAAAGAAAAGAAAAAGAAAGTGGGTTCATTACTACTAAACTTAACAGAAACCTAAACAGATTATAATTGAATATTATGAACTGTATACCAACAAATTAGATAACCTAGACGAAATGGACAATTTCTAGAAACACACTAACTCTCAAAACTAACTCAAGAAGAAGTAAAAAATCTGAACATACCTATAACAAATACAGAGATTGAATCAGTAATCAAAATCTCCCAACAACAGCAAAAAAGCCTAGGATCAGACGGTTCCACTAATGAATTCTACCAAACATTTAGATAATTAACAACAATCCTTCTCAAACTCTTCAAAAAAAAAAAAATAGAAGAAAAGGAAACACTTCTTAACTCATTCTACAAAGCCAGCATTACTCTGATACTACAGTCAGACGGAGACATCAGACGAAAGGAAAACTACCTACCAATATCCCTTATGAATATCTATGTAGAAATCCTCAACAAAATACTGGCAAACTAAATCCAGCAGCATATTAGAAAGATTATACACCATGACCAAGTGGGATGTATCCCAGTAATGCAAGGGTGGTTCAACATATGAAATCAATCAGTACAATATACCACCTTAATAGAACTGAAGGAAAAAAACCTACATGATTATCTCAGTTGATGCAGAGAAAAGATTGGACAAAATCCTCTTTCATGATAAAGAAAAACACAGTCAACAAACTAGGAATTGAAGGGAACTTCCTCAGCATGATAAAGGGTATTTATAAAAATCCACAGCTAACATTATACTCAATGGTGAAACACCATACGCTTTCCCCCTAAGATCAGGATCAAGACAAGGGTGTCTCCTTTCTCCACTCCTACTAAACACTGGAAGTTCTAGCTGAAGCAATTAGGCAAGAAAAAGAAATAAGGCATCCAGTTAAAAAGGGATAAGTAAAACTATCTCAGTTGCAGATGACATGATCTTAAATATAGGAAATCCTAAAAACTCACAAAAAAACTACTAGAGCTAATAAACAAGTTCAACAAAGTTGCAGGATACAAGATCAATACACAGGAAAATCAGTTTTCCTATACACTAACAATGAACAATCTGAGAAGGAAATTAAGAAAACAATTCCATTCACACTACCATAAAAAATAATAAAGTGCTGAGGAGTTAATTTAACCAAAGAGGCAAAAGCCTTGAACATTGAAAGTTATAAAACATTGATAAAAGAAACTGAAGAAGACCTAAGACCTAAGGAAAGATATTCTGTGTTCATGAATTGGAAGACTTAATATTATTAAAGTGACAACACAACCCAGATATACAGATTCAATGCCATCCCCATCAAAATCCCAATGGTCTTTATTGCAGAAATGAAAAAACTGATCCTAAAATTCATATGAAATTGCAAAACAATTTTGGAAAAGGAAAACGAAGTTGGAAGACTCATACTTCCCGATATCAAAACCTACCACAAAGCTATGGTAATCAAAGCAGTGTGGTACTGGCATAAGAATAGAGTCCAGAAATGAACCCATTCATTTACGGTCAACTGATTTTCACAAGGGTACTGAAACTTTCAATGGAGAAAGAATAGTCTTAAACAAATGGTGTTGGAACAACTCAATATCCACATGCAAAAGAATGAAGTTATATTCTTACTTCACACCATATACAAAAATGAACTCAAAATGGAACAAAGACCTACATAAAGAGCTCAAATTATAAAACTCTTTGAAGAAAACAAAGGAGTAAATTCATGACCTTGATTAAGCAATGATTTCTTAGATAGGACACCAAAAGCACATAAAATGACAACAAAAATCAACTGGATTTTATCAAAATTACAATTTTTGTGCATCAAAGATTATTCTCAGGAGAGTGAAAAGACAATCCAAAGTATGGGAGAAAATATTTGCAACTCATATATCTGATAAGGGTCTAGTATCCAGAATATATAAAGAACTCTTACAGCTCAACAACAAAAACACAAACAATCCAATTTTAAAATGGTCAAAGGACTTGGATAGACATTTCTCCAAAGAAGATATACAAATGGACAACAAGCACACAAAAAGAGGCTCAATATCATTAGTCACTAGAGAAATGCAAATGAAAACCACAATGAAGGGCTTCCCTGGTGGTGCAGTGGTTGAGAGTCCGCCTGACGATACAGGGGACATGGGTTCGTGCCCCGGTCCAGGAAGATCCCACATGCCGCAGAGCGGCTAGGCCCGTGAGCCATGGCCACTGAGCCTGTGCGTCCGGAGACTGTGCTCAGCAACAGGAGAGGCCACAACGGTGAGAGGCCCGTGTACCACAAAAAAACAAACAAACAAACAAAAAAAACACAATGAAAAACCATTTCACACTCACTAGGATGGCTATAATTAAAAAGAACACAGAAAATAAGAAGTGTTGGTAAGGATGTAGAGAAACTGGAGTCCTCATACATGGTTGGTGGCAATGTAAAATGGTGCAACTGATGTGGAAAATAGTTTGGCAGTTCCTCAATATGCTGAACATAGAATTACAATATGACCCAGCAATTCAACTACGAGGTATATACCCAAAGGAACTGAAAACCTATGTTGAAACAAAAATTTGTACACAAATGTTTATACTAGCGCTCTTCACAACAGCCAAAAGGTAGAACAACCCAAATGTCCCTCAGCTGATGAATGGATAAACAAAATATGGTACATCTATACAATTAAATATTGGGTTGGCCAAAAAGTTCGTTTGGTTAATGAATACATTGTTCAATAAAGTTCTCGGTGCAAATGAAAAATGTCTTTCATTTTTACTTAAAACCAAATGAACTTTTTGGCCAACCCAATATTATTCTCTCGTGAAAAGGAATGAAGTACTAATATACGCCTCAACATGAACCTTAAAAACAACTTGCTATGTGAAAGAAGCCAGTCACAAAAGAACACATATTATATGACTCCATTTATACAAAATGTCTAAAACAGGCAAATCTACAGACAGAAAGTAAATCAGTGGTTGCGTAGGGCTGGGGGGGATGGGGGATGGAGGGTGATAACTAAAGGATACAGGGTTCCTTTCTGAGGTGATGAAAATGTTCTAAAATTGACTGTGGTGGTGGCTGCACACATCTGTGATCATACTACAAAACACTTGATTGTATACTTTGATGGGTGCATTGTATGGTATATAAATTGTATTTTAATAAAGCTGTTATAAAAGATATTTAATTAATCCAAAAGAAGGCAGAGGAAGAGGAAAATGGAATGAAGAATAGATGCGACTAATATAAGATAATAGCAAGAAGAGAGACTCAAACCTAACCACATCAATAATCATATTACATGTAACTAATGTAAACATCCCAGTTAAAAGGCAGAGATTGTCAGATTGGATTTAAAAAGCACCACCATATGTTGTCTACAAGAATCTATAAGGGAGGGGGCATCCTTTAAATATAAAGACAGGAATGGGTTAAAAGACAAAATGATGGAAAAGATACACTATGCTAACACTAGTCAAAATAAAGCCAGAGCAGTTATATTAATATCAAACAATGTATATTACCAGAGGTCAGGAGGGTTATTCGTAATGATGAAGGGGTCAATTCTTCACAACAATCTCAAATATTAACAGAGTTTCAAAATACACAAAGCCAAAAATGATAGAACTACAAGGAAGAATAATAAATCTACAATTAGAGTTGGAGATTTCAATACCCCGCCTCAGTAACTGAGAACAAGTAGACCTTGTATCAGCAAGGATGCAGTAGATTTAAACAAGACTGTGCCCAACTGGACTTAATTTACGTTTACAGAAAACTCCACCAACACCAGCAGATACACAACCTTCTCAAGTGCACATGGAACATTTGCCAAGATAGGCCTTATCCTGGGCTATAAAGTAAATCTTACTAAATTTAAAAGATTCAAGTCAAAAAAGTATGTTCTCTTACTTCAGAGGAATTAAATCAGAAATGAATAATAGAAAGATATCTGGGAAATCCCTCAAATATTTGGAAACTAAATACTAAATACTTCAAATAATCCATAAATCAAATAAGAAATCAATGGGGAAATTAGAAGGTATTTTGAAGCTGAATGAAAATTAAAACATAACATATCAGAATTCGTGGGATGTTGCTAATGCAATAGTTAGAGGGGAATTTATATCACTAAATGCCTACGCTAGAAAATGAGAAAGGTCTCAAACCAATGACTTCAGCTTTCACCTTAAGAATTACAAAAAGAGGGGCTTCCCTGGTGGCGCAGTGGTTAAGAATCTGTCTGCCAATGCAGGGGACATGGGTTTGAGCCCTAGTACAGGAAGATCCCACAGGCCACGGAGCAACTAAGCCCATGCGCCACAACTACTGAGCCTGCGCTCTAGAGCCTGCGAGCCACAGCTACTGAGCCCGCATGCCTAGAGCCCGTGCTCCACAACAAGAGAAGCCACTGCAATGAGAAGCCCGGGCACCACAATGAAGAGTAGCCTCCACTCACTGCAACTAGAAAAAGCCCGTGCACAGCAACGAAGACCCAACACAGCCAAAAATAAATAAATAAATTTTAAAAATAAGAATTACAGTAAGAACCAATTAAACCCAAAGTGAGCAGAAAGAAAATAATACAATTCAGAGTCGAAATAGAAAACAGACAAAATAGGAAAAAGAAAAACAATATAGAAAATCAATGAAACCAAAAGCTGCTTCTTTAAGAAGATTTTTTTTTAATGGACAAAAACAAATCTAATGTCACAAGAAAAGAATTTTAAAAATTAGAGGTGACCAATAATGACCAATCACACCAGGAATGAAAACACCCAGTGGCTTTCTGTTGGGCTGAATAAGTAAAGAATGAGCAGTAGATGTACACAAATCCTTACTGAAGCATAAGAAAGCCAGGCTTACCGTGTCCTTAGTAAGTGGTATACTCAAGTATTAGGATAATTTTCACCAGGATTTGAACAACAGGAAACTATTTAAGTACATAAGTCGATAAGAATAATAAACTAAACACGGTTACTGACCTCCTCGGGGAGAAGGAGAATCATGCCCTCCAATGACCACGAGGATGCCGGAACCTTCCAGCTTCTCTTTCCATTTTTCAATGATAGTCATAGACTTGTCCTGAAAGCACAAGGACGTTGGCAGGTCAGGAAACTTTCCTCCAAACAGTCAGAGGTGACTTACACTAGGGCTAAATCACCAACAGGAAGATCATAAATACCTTACTGGCATCATTAAAAATGGAAAGCTCCATGGAGCCTTCGAAGTCCTGCTGCAAAACAGACCCCAAGCACTCGTCCAGCCACGGTTCAGCGTCATGGACCGGGAGGATAACAGACTGGAATTCAAAACAAAACGATTGAGAAACAAGTGTGGAAACTGAATACTCTTTCCATGGCTCTAATTTACTTCCCCATTACCATCCGCACAATGCTTATTTCCAAAGGGCAAGCACCTTACAGAGTAACCCAGAATAAGGCTTCCAGGGAAAGAATATGTCCTGACAAAAAAAAAAAGGTGTCTATGCCTCCTCTCAAGATTTATTGTCTTAGATTTCCCAGAATTGGTCTTTTGGATGCTTTTGAAAAGGAAACAAAAACCTGAAAGGCATCAAAAATGTTCCCAATTCAACGGCAAATTCATGTGTTTCCCAATCAGTGGTCAGAAACATCATCATTTTGGTTGAAACAAGCATCTGTGTATCTTGAACCCACTCATGAAATAAGTATTTTCAGTAAACCATGATGTTAGAGAAACTGCAACAAAGAAACCCTTTTAAGTACCCCCTACACTTGCTTTCACAAAGTAATGGGGGCGGGGCTGGGAAAAGGGGAGGTGACCTCCCTCCAGCTCTCTCTTCCTTTGCTCTACTCAGTTTAGGATCGTTTGGCACTGTCCTCTTCTCACAGGGCCCACATAAAACAAAAATTTATGAAGTGTACGGAGTAAAACCAGTGAATCTTGACTGCCAACAAAACAACTGATTACAGGATTTGTCTTAATTCTGTATATTACCACATTGAGCAATACAGAATACCCAAAGATAGAAGTTACAGTCGGTCTTCACCCTTGAGTTTATACCCTAACGAAGAGTGGACACATTCCCAAGTAAGAAGACAGAAACACAGGTCATCCAGGTGTGAGCGTGTGTCTACACATGCATACACGTGCAAACATACATACATGCATATATGTACGAATTATATATCTATACAGAATACAGATATTTTAAATGCTAAATCTGAATATGGTTATGAAAAGCTCACAGATATAAGCACTGAAAATACAGTTCTGTCAAGTTCTTTACTCTGAGGATCTGATTCAACAGTGGTATCCCTTCCTGCATTTATGTTATCCACATAAATAGTTCCCTAATTTACTTACATATTTACTTTACTTTGGAATTATTTTTTAAAGGAAAGAATATTTTTACTGTTTTAAAGATCTACAATACAAAACATAATGTGAATTTCTGCCAAAGATGAGCCTTGATTAATCTCTGTTCGCACTCTTGCTGGTGCTTTAACGTTGATTTGGGCAGAGACCCTTATAGGCTGCCCAAGAGAAGAGGCGGTGGTGGTGTGGTAAATGGAGACCCAGGATGGGGAGAGGAGGGAGGGAGGGATGGAGGGGAGCGGAGCGGGGAGGAGGAGGACGGAGGAGAGAGGGACGGAGTTGAAAGGAGAGGAGAGGAGGGGACAGGAGACGACCGCAGAGTCGGGGAGACAGAGAGTCAGGGAAGGGTACTAGAGCTGAGGGGCGGGGAGGGGCGAGGAGGGACGGGGCGCCACCCCCATCCCCACCTCCCACCCCCGCCAGCCCAGCACCTACCACTTGGACGGGGGCGCGGGCCTGGCCGAGGGCGGCTGCAGCCGTGTACCCGCTGGCCTGCATGGCGCGCGCTCCTCGGGCCGCCCCGCCCACTTCGGCCTACGGCGCGTGCGCGGGCGGCTCGCCGGGAGGCGGGGCCGAGGCCGGGCGCCTCCGATTGGCGCAGAGGGACGTCGATCCAGCGGGGACCTGCAGGCAGTGGAGAAGCGCGGCCTAGAGCGGCGGAAAGACAGTCCAGCCACAGCCACAGGCACAGCCCCCCACCCTTCATCCCGCCGCAGCCACACGCACAGGCACACGCCCTCCCCCCACCCGCGCCCTGAGGGAGCTCATCTGATCTGCTTAGAGGTCCGCAGTGAAGCAAGTGTCACAGGAGTTCCTGGGTTGTGCAGAAGGTGGGGTTTGTGGGAAGACGCTGCGCTGTCCCGGTGGCTACGCCTTCCCACGTGTGTCCCTTCTCTGACCAGGAAAGGTTCTGTGTGAAGAGCAGGTGATGGTCCCCTGCACTGGCGACGGGACGCCTGAGCGGCCCCCTGTGGAGCACCGGGCCCCGGGGCCCGCGCCGCCCGGGGGCCGAGGGGACCGCCTGTCACGCGGGTGCCCCGACCCATCTGGGTCAGTGAGCACGTCATAGCCTTTACCGCCCCAAACTAATGTTAAATGCAAATCATTCTGCAAAGTAGCAATTATGATAAAGCCGAACTTCTGTTTCATGTCTTGTAAGCATCACTTCAAATGTCATTTTTCCTTAAACTGCATCAATATTTTCAAAGCCTGTTGCACAGATTGAAACGCTTAGGTCAGATGAGTAAAAATGCATCCTGTCTACAAAGGATAAGGCACAAAAACAATCTGAGAATTTGTTTCCAAGGACTTGATGTGCTCCAGGGGTTGGTGTATTAGGAATAGTTTCATTTTAAGGGACTAGGTAAAAAGTCGCTTGATAGCTTCCAGAATGTGCTGTGGGCTTTGGAGCTGGACTGCCTCAGTAATCAGTGGGAGGAAGAGATAAGGGGTCCCCACGGCGTCTGGCACCTCCACAGCACATGCTATCGGAATTGGGCTTGGCTACTCCTGTCTTGCTTCCTGTACATCTCCTGCTGCCAGAAGTTTGCTTTTCACTGCCTTCCCCCTAATAAAAATTTGGCTAGAGTCTGCTTTTTGCAAACATTCAGAGTGCCAAGAGGCACTTCAGAAGTGCAGGGTTTGCTGAGATTCTTCTCTTCATGGTAGGAACATTCTCAACAGAGGGACCAGACTATGGGGCCTGACACCACCACTCCAGAGGGACACAGACATAGGGAGGATGTGGGGTAGGATGAGGAGGTGACAAAGTCATGGGCCCCTGGAGAGGAAGTGATGCAGGTCTCCCACAGCTCTTGGCTCACCCAGTGACTGACATTTTTCTTTATTTTTAAATGTTGTTTCTGCAGACTGTTGGCGAATCCTGGTTGTATTCAGAAAGCTCAGTGCCAACCGCCAGGGCCTTCAAATTTTAAAATGCCAACAGCCCTCTTACAATGTGGGTATAGGAAGCAAAGATGGGCATAGGTCTGGACTCGGCCACACTGGGCCCAAAGTCAGAATGAGTCTGCCCTGGGTGCACCCGTGAAGGGTGAGGTCAAGCTTGAATGCCAGCAGCTGGACGTTCCCCTACAGCCCACACTGCAAGACCTCCAAGCAAGTGTCCCGTCCAAGTTTCCTGATGGGATGAACCCCAACACAGCTGCAGCTGGACCTCCACTGGGCAGTGATGCTGCTGGGAGGTCAGGAGCCACCCAGCACCATGGACGACAGTGCACTTGGACTGTCGGAGATGGGCTGCCTGTGGAGGCCGTAGTGCCCTGATAGTAAATCCATTCACGAGGGAGCAACCAGCTGTGTGACTGTGTGATGTGCACCAGTGTCCTCTTTTCTACGTTCTCACTTTTGTAAAGGCTAGTTGAGACTCACTGTGTTGAGAAGAAGCTGGAGCTGGGCTTCTTACCAGCCTTGGGAAATAATGAGGTTCCCATCACAGGAAGCATTCAGTTAACAGCTGGGCAAACATTTGGTGTGGATTTGATGGGACCATTCAAGTATCACATAGAATGTTTGTCCTGGCCTGGGTGCCGACCCCCTTAGCCCAGAAAGCAGAGACTGAGTCGGGGTCTTTGCAGTGAGGGTTTTTGTTCCCAGGAAGCTGGGGCAGGGGAGTGAGGTAGGGGAGGAGCAAGTCTGGGACCAGCATGATGCCTTGTGGGGGCCTCCATCATGGGCAATTGGAGCTGAACCCTTGGACCTTCCCAGAGCCCTGGAGAGTTGTCCACCTGAGTGTGAGGGACAGAAGCCTTACCTCCCCTGCACTTCAGGGTGGTGACCAGGATCCCACAGGTGGTCCCCAGCAAGGGGGTGCACAGCACATTGCAGGCCAGGTGTGCAGCGGCCCTGGCTCGACTCAGAGTCAGGACCAAGAGGGTGGGAAGGGCTGATCAAAGGGCCAGAGGAGCCTGATGCGTGATCAGGAAGGCAAATGGAAACTCAAAATAGCATCACCTCCAACCACCACATTGTACAGTTAGCACACGTGGATCATTCTGAAGTGATTTAAGCAACTGCTCTTCAAATTTGGGATGACTCACAGGTGGGTGCCAGGTGCCTATGGGAGCTGCGTGCACAGCACAGGGTGTTAGCACCTGAACCCCTGTCTGTGAGTCGGACAGTGTCTGGTGAAAGGCCAGGAGAGGCCAGTCAGACATCTTCCTCCAAGATATTAACAGGAAGATGTCATCTGTGGGAGAAAGGGCTTGGATAAATTCACATCTGATAGAACTTGGAGGAGGAGTGGGGACACGAGAGGTTTTAGGGGCCACCAGCCAGTGCTGCTGGTGTCACTGTCAAAGCCGGGGCCACTGGGGCCTGGCCAGATGGTTAGTGAGGAAGCTGCCTCAGGCTGCCTTAGAAGCGGGGTGCATCGTGGGGCGGGGTCCAGCACTGGCTTTCCCCTTTTATGGGGCACAGTGAGAGTCTGGAAGATGCAAGGAGGGAAACGCCAGCCATCCCTCCCCATGAGGAGCCATCCACTCCCTCAGCCCGTGCCGGGCCTTCTGCCTCCTAGGACTGGCCCACACGGAGATGCTGCCCACTCACAGGTCACCAGGCCCAAGAGGCAGACTGGATCCTGACCCACTGATGAGGGAACAGCATCCAGCAGCCACCAAGGAATCAGTGGCCTGTATGTGAATTGGGGACAGCCATTGCCTGGCCCTCAGCACTGCCTCCCTGACCCTGAGACCTGAGGCTGGATCTCAAAGCTTCCTTAACTGGACTTTGTCGCGAGACACCCCTGCGTGGGTCTCCCATGCTCTTCCACACTCAGCTGGGCACCCTGTTACCTGGGCTGTTTTGTGAGCAGCCTTGAGGGATGAGGTCATGGTGCCCTCCAGGAGGAAGGGCGGACGTGCAGCACCTGTCTGGGCCCTGTCGTGTCACCCCCAGGGAATGGGGACTCTGGGAACCCATGCACACACGCTGATCCTGACTTCTACTGAGCTATAAACTGCTTCACTCTACCCCAGGAGCCTGTGTTTTTGGTCAGCACCTGGAGAATGTGGCCGGCCAGCCATCCTGTTAGCTTGAAATGAAGGGAAACCTCTGACCCCTTCATGGTTCTGGGCAGCGTCCTGCCCTCACAACCCCCCCTCCCCTCCAAGGACCTGGCCCTGGACCCACCAGCTTGAGGAGTCGCAGGCTATGAAAGGCAGTGAGGAAAATCAATGCATAAAGCCCCAGCATGAGGGGGCGAGTACAAACACTGACACACTTTTATCTTTTCACATTCTACTGCCTTCCCCACGGCTCACTTCCTCAGAGACCCCACTGCCCCGCTGGCCCCATCTGCACGGGATCCTCCCGCTAAGTGCTCACGGCACTGTCTCCCCCTAAGTTGTCGCCTCAGTGGGGGCAGGGACAGTCTTTTTGTCCACTGCCAACTCCCTGCGGCTGGCAGAGTCCAGAGGCCACGTGAGCCGGCTGCCGATGCAGGGCCAGGACGCGGAGGCTGAGAAGTGAGGGAGCTGGTTCCCAAGAGGGCCCAAGGGGGGCCTGAGGGAGGCCCTGGCTGGCTCTGCACACCTGCATCCAGGGCACGTCGGCCCTCAGCCCAGTGGGGAAGCAGAGTGCCCATCCCGGGCAGAGCGCACAGCCCTGCGCCCCTCTCACCAGAATCCCTGAAATCCCCGTGTTGCTTCGCTCACTCTGGGAAGGTAGGTCCGTGAAGACACTGCTCAGCTGTTCACAGGAGCCTCTGACCCAGAATAGCACAGAGGAGGGTATATGCTCAGGAAAGAAGGAAGGAAGGAAAGAATGAATGAATGCGTGCGGGACAGTCTACCAGTAATGAAATCTAGAACAGGAGACGGTGTCTACACTGGGTCTAGTTAGAGTCCTAATAATGTTATCAAATAACTCAAAATTTCACATGGTCAGTGTAGAAATTGCCAAACACCAGGTGTGGTGTCTTCTGTCTGGATAAACGGCCAGTTATTTTGATCAGGATGGACAGTAAAGTCAGGTGATAATTCAGGCTCTCCCGGAATTCACGTGGTGCAGTTCCAAGTCTGTGGACGCGGCTGCAACCCCCCCACCACCACCCAGCCACATCCAGCTTCTCAGGAGTCCCACAGTGTCTGGATTCCAGCTCCTCTTAGAACTGGACTATATGACAACTCTGGGGTCATGCGGTCCCCTCCTGGGACCCACGTTGGCGGCTGGGTAGGGGCTCTTCTCTCACATCCCTGCCTTGGTTCCACTGCCCAGGACAAGTGAGTGGAACATCATCAAAGCCACAGTTTGTGTGGACCCCCTCCCCGAGCTGAGCCCTCTCACTGGTCACCGATGTCCGTGACTCTTTCGTCTTTCCCGAGCGGGGAGATCTCTCTGTAAGGGGACTTGGCATCGCTTTGGTACATACTGCAAAGTTTTAAAAATCTGTTAAAATGGACGAAGCCCTAAGCAAATAGGAGCGGGTTTAATTTTTTTTAAACAAACACTCAAATGCAAGAGTATTTTAGGGCAAATCTTGTCTTTTGAGGACACGTCTGGCATTTCTACACTGCCCATTGTGCTTGTTGGCATGACTGTTGAGCTTCC